ACATGAAAAATAGATTAAAATGAGGACAGTCTGAAAGGAGTTCTAAGTTTGACTCTCTTGGTGGGGTGGCTTGTGGGTGCTTTTTATTTTACAACTTTGTATCTTTTGTAATGTCGGATATTTTGTATGTAAGCAAACCAGATGGAGGCAGAGCAGCTGAGAAGGGCTGTTCAAGGTTTCATTTGGGGTCAGAGCTGATAGAGAGAATGTCAGACTTACATTTTTGGGCATGTTTAGTTAAGATTTTAGGCTCTGGCACTAAACAGACACTATTCCAAAGAAGACAAACAGGTAGCTAACAAGCAGAAGAAAAAATACTGATTGTCAGAGAAGTGAAAATCAAAACCACAATAGCATTCCACCTCACACCTGTGAGAATGGCTCCTACAGAAAAAGCCAGAAGCAACAAGTGCTTGCAAGGATGAGGAACAGGAAGCCTCATATGCTTTGCGTGGGAATGTGGCCTGCCCCAGCCCCTGTGAAAAGTAGCGTGGAGGCATTCCCAAAGACTAAACATATGACCTTATGACCCAGCAGTTCCACTCCTGGCTGGCTGTCTGCAGAATGCAAAAACACTTATTTGAAGGGCAAACTGCACTCATATTGCAACACTATTTCTAATAGCCAAGCTCTGGAAACAACCTAAGTGCCCAAGAAGAAAGGTATCGGGAAAATATGGTCGATAGACACAATGGAATACTATTCAGTAATCAAAAAGGTAAACTCTGTCACTTGAGATAGCACAGGTGGAGCTGAAGGAGATTATGCTAAATGAATTAAGTCACAAGGAGAAGAACCAATACTAGATGGTGTCACTTATATGTGGATAAAAGAGAACCCAAACGCATGGTCAGATGAAGACAAACTAACAACAAGCCTTAGAAAACTGGCCTACAGGCTAATAGAGGAGGCAGGAAAGGGGGCTGGATGAAAACCGGGGCGGGGGGGGGAGCTCAGATCAGGCCTTTGTAGGGAACTATGGGGGGGAGCTATGGGGATTTGGTGGTGAGTTCTCTGTGGGACAACACCTGAAGGGGTTGCTGCGCTTCTGAAAATAACAATGTTGTGAACTAATGTTATTGCAATTAACAAGATTTAAGACCTGGGTGTCTCCTAAGCACCTTCTCTTGGGTGCTGCATCTGGACTGGGCACATGTGTTAGTAAGTAACAGCTCATGCAGTAGAGTGGGACAGTGGTCAACCAGATGATCAAGTTGCAGCAGTGCAGCCAGATAACAGACTGCAACTAGAGATGGGAGCTGTGAGAGAGGGGCAGAGCATTGCCTCAGCCTGGGGGGGGGGACCTCCAAGTTGTGATGGCTGAGTAAGGTAAGATGGGCAAATGTACACTTGACTCTTGAACAGCGCAGGTTTGCTTGGTGAGGGCCTGCTTTGAGGCAGGTTCCACCTTCACTCATTGGACCCATAGAGGGCAGCCTACTGCAGTCCAGGGAGGTAAACTCCTGCCCAACTTGTCACAGCCATCCAGGAGCAGAGAAGCAGGAATAGGCCCCTGACACCCTGTCACTCCATTCTGCCCTGAACACCATTCACTCACCCTTGTCTGGCTCCACCAGGAGACCTGAGACTCAGTGTCAGGAATGGAACAAGAGCAGCAGGCTGCTCTGGCTGCAGAGAAACTTCCGGTAGGGAAGGTTCCAGAAAGGTTGTGCATGGGATGGGGGAAGGGATAGCACCAATTCCTTCTCAGTCTCTTCCCATTTCTTGCCTGATCGTTTACTGAAATTATCAGACCCATCAAAGGTAAAAATGACCCCCTGAGACCTGTACTGCTTGCAGGCTCACAAAAAAACAGCCCCTAACTAACAGACTGACATTTTTATTTCTGGAGCTCGCTGCCACTTCTCCAACCTTGTTTGTCTAGAGTGCACACAGTCCAAATCAGGGTTGGCATTAGGTCGTTCCTGAGGCCAGCAGGGCCTCAGCTTGCAGCCCCTCGAGCCTTGGCCTCTTCTTAACTTGCTTTCTAAAAATTCACAGTCCTGTTCCTAGGCTCTCTCTCCCTCCTCAGCTCCTGCTCACCCTCCAGCATTTTCTCCTCTGCCCGGGTCTGTTTTACTCCTAGCGGCAGGACACCCTGGACCACTTGCCTTTTCAGGGCTAGTTCCTGCCTGTGCTGACTTGCCCTTGATGAAAGAAGCTACACAACTGAGGGCCAGAGCTGTGTATGCATGGAAGCAGCCTGTTCCATCTAGGCAGATGCAGTGATGGTGGTTTCTTGATTTTGAGTTACTCATCTGCTTTCTCCCAAGGGAATGTCCCACTTGGAGGCCTGTGGTCAGACTGTTCTCTTGAGCTTCTTGTGTCTGCCCAGCACCCCCAGTCTGGCAGCATTCCGATTCGATTGCACCAGCTTGCAGGTCCCATGTGTGAGAGGAGATCACATGTGCCATGCCCTGAGCACAGCATGAGCTCACATCCAAGCACCCCCATACAGACAGCCTGACCCAATTTTATGGATGGGACAGTTGTGAGCAGAGAGCCCCTTTGCTTCGTTCAGGCTCGCCCAGCTCACACGTGGCAGGATGCACTTTTAGAGAAGTCTTCTTTCCTATCTTTGGCCCTAAAAGGTGCTACTCTATTACAAGCTATTGCCAAGTCCAGCTTACAGATGTGTAAACTGAGGGCCTACGGGGGGAATCTAAGAAACTTAAGGTCATAGTGAATAGATATGATGTCAAGATCCTGTCCTGCACACTGAGCCTGTCTCAGAGACCCACCCTCCTCCGCCTTCTCAGGGCCTGGCCAGGCAGGGCTGGACAGCTGGGGGCCGGGAACATTGCTGGGACCTCCCCTGTGTCTCACGCAGGCACCCTGAGCCCTTTGGGAACCCCATGCCGGGTGTTTGCATCAATGAGTCAGTGGCACTCTGAGCCTTGGATGCTGCCTTTCTCCGTTGGGTCAGTTTTCATGATGAGATGCTCATCTACAAGAGCCGTGTGGTCAGTGGTTGAGCTGAGGCTGCAGGCAGCTGGGGTCAGGTTGGGGGTAAGGGAAAGGGACTCTGCCTGACAGAAGGACCAGGCCTCCAGCCTGAGGTCTTATCATGCACACAGCTGATGATTAAGCGAAGCTCACCAAAGTGGATCAGCACGTGAGTGCTTCTTTCTGCAATATTTTCTGGAAGATTCTTACACTGGGGAATCTATTCCTGAAAGTCCTTGGTAATTTGAGGCTGGAGAGGAACTAGTGTCACTTTGACACATTTCCTTCCCCTGCCCCCCCCCACCTCCACATCACCCCCAGAATAGCAAGGTTAGTTTGAACCTTAGCTGTACAACTTTGAACTAATGTATCCCTGCTCTGTGCCTGTTTCTTGGCTTAAGTGGCCTTGAAGCTCCCCAACAGAAAGCACAATTTATTGTGAAGAAGAGCGAGGTAGCCGAGGTCTGCCTGCTCACTGGAGAGGACTCCGGCACATGGTGAATAAGGGAGGTGAGGAGAAGGCAGGTGTTCTGCCTCAAGCCCTGGGCAGGTGCTATAGGGAATGCAGACATATTTTGCAAATACCCCTGCCCTTCAGGACTCCCAGAACAGGGTATTTCATGAATCTCATGAATCATGTAAGATATGTTCATAAATACTTATTTCAATTTAGGCACAATCAAATATTTACCAGTTGGATGTATTGGGGAAAAATCAGCTTCAGTTTGCCTTAAATTTCTGATTAAGGGAAACCTACACAGGTACATTTTTTTCATTCATCCTTGCATCCAACAAATACATATTTTTAAAGATTTATTTATTTATGCTTAGAAGAACTGGAGTTAGGCCAGAGGTACAAGGAGGGGGTGACAGGATTCACCAGAGACAGAGTGGGGAGGGACAGGTGTGGTGGATCTGTTAAAATACACCGCTGAGGGGAGCAGCGGGTGAGCCAGCAGAGTCTGCTGTGTCATATGGGTCATTCCCTGGTTGAGGATTGAATTCATGCTGCAGTGGCTGCCTGAAGCTTCATAGTACTGAGGCTTAATCCCTTGTGCCACCAGGGAGGCCCCCCCAACAAATACTTTTGCACCTGTTTTTTCATTTTTTTTTAAAGATTTATTTATTTGTACATACAGAACTGGGGTACAGGGCAGAGGCTCAGGGGCGGTGAGAGGCTTCACCAGAGACAGAGTGGGGAGCAGAACAGACAGATCTACACTGCTGAGGGGAGTAGTGGGCGGGTCAGGAGAGGTCTGCCACGCCATGTGTTCACCTCTGGGGCAGGCGGGAATCGAACTCATGAGAAAGTGGCTTAAGCTTCTTAGTGCAGTGCTTTAACCCGCTGTGCCATCAGGGAGGGCCTGTTTTTTTTCTTTTTAAGACCCAAACATTAAAAGCTCGTGTTTCTGAGAATGAAGAAAATATAAACAGTGCAGAATTACATTTGACTCCATAATGCTGTGTCACCTTTGCAGCAGAATGAAAGAAAGGCTGCTCTCTCTTGAGTCCTCTGTGGACTCATTCTAGAGATGAGGAAGCGGGCTGAAAAAGCATGTGGGGTCACTCAGCTGGTAAGAGATGGAGTCAAGATGAGCTTCAGACACTCACCTGTGTGAAGCCGCAGCTCTGACTTCAGATGCTCGGTTGTCAGGATTTCTCTGTGACCGTTGTCCATCTCTTTGGCTCCTGTGGCAACTTAAAAAGGAGGATGGAGCTTCTTACATTCTCATGGCAAAAACAATGCTCAGAGAAACCTCCCTCGTGGCACAAGGGGCTAAGTCTCAGCACTGTGAAGCTGTTGCATGCATGAATAAATAAATCTTTACGGGGCTCAGAGAGGTCAAACTGTTTGCCCAAAGGCACACAGGGTTGGTGGGAAATCTAGGTTTGCAAGCACTGTCTCTCAGACTTCAAGGTACGCCTGCTTCTCAGGCTCTGTGAGCTGAAACCCCCTAGAATCTGGCCTGAGTGTGGTGGATGGAAAAGCCCCCTCTGGCGCTCGAGTCCCAGGAACAGTGGCCCACTTGCTTGTCCTCTCCCCTCTCCTGCAGGGTGGCCTGATCGCACTCCTGCTGCTGCTGCTGGTCTTCACTGTGGCACTGTATGCCCAGCGCCGCTGGCAGAAACGCCGCCGCATCCCCCAGAAGAGCGCCAGCACAGAGGCCACCCACGAGATCCACTACATCCCCTCGGTGCTGCTGGGTCCCCAGGCCCGGGAGAGCTTCCGCTCCTCCCGGCTGCAGGCGCACAATTCCGTCATCGGGGTGCCCATCCGGGAGACCCCCATCCTAGATGACTACGACTATGAAGAGGAGGAGGACCCTCCCCGGCGGGCCAATCACGTCTCTCGCGAGGATGAGTTCGGCAGCCAGGTCACGCACACCTTGGACAGCCTAGGCCGGCCAGGCGAAGAGAAAGGGGACTTTGAGAAGAAAGGTGAGTCCTTGCGATGTGCCACCCTCAGAGGGGCACTGGGGAGAACTGGGAAGAACTCAGGGGCTGGGCGCTTGGGGATCCAGTCATTCTTGGGGTCTGTCATTGTGGGTTTACAGGCAACCTCCTTGCTGGGCTATCTGTTGGTCACCTTTGGTGCTTCTAAATGGTAGGTGACGAAAAAAGCAACACTGGGAAGTCTGTCGCGCAACATCTGTCCAGTGGCCCTTGATTAGCTCCCCTGATGGCCTCCTCACCCCTCAGGAGAGGGCCTACCTCATTTCCAACCACTACTATTAGATAGCTTTTCCTTTTCTTGGGTTGAACCCATGTCTGTACAGGCACAAGAGTCAATCTGGTCTTCCTTCACCATGGCCTCTTTCTTGGGAAATTTGATAAAAGAATAGAAGACACCCTGTTGCTTCTGGAAAGCAATTAAAAAAAAAAAAAGTCCCAGTTTCATCAGCCTGTCCATGACATATTTTTCTGATTCCACCACCCTGGTCACTGCTATGTAGAGGGGCATTCCTATTCCTATCTTGGATGTCCTGAAGTTGACAAGACAGGAGTGATGAGAAAACAGAACATGCCAACTTCCTCTTGTCGCCTGCAATGCTTCTGCTGGTGCAGCTTGCGAGCACAGTGATTTTTGCAGCTATCTCTGGGTCCTTGTGAATGTTGGTATGACTGAACCCCACTCTTTTTCATATACGCTATTCAAGCACCATTCCCTTAATTCCGTTGGAGGACATCAGTTATTTGGACACAGCACAGGATGTGTTTACATCTGTCTTATTAGCTGCCTATGTCTCCAGCTTATCTACAAATGGAATTTCATGTTTTCTTTAATTTTTTTTTCATAATTTATTTAGTTATACATACAGAACTGGGGTACATGCCAGAGGTGCGGGGGTGGGGGGGAGAGAACTCACCAGAGACAGAGTGGAGAGCAGAACAGGCAGATTGGCAAAGTACACTGCTGAGGGGAGCAGTGGGCAGGTCAGGAGAGGTCTGTCATGCCACGTGGGTCACCCCCGTGGCTGGGGATCAAACTCATGCCACAGTGGCTTCGATAGCGTCATAGTGCCGTGTGCTGTAGTAGGGCCCTGATAGTGTTTTCCTTTAAATAAATGCTGCAAAGGTACTGTCCTGCTTCATCTTTATATTGTTTTTGTGACCTCGGTGGTAAAGATGTGTCCAAGGTATGGCCTAGAGAGCCAGTGCTGGCTCTGACCCTCCTGCTTGTGAGCTGTGAAGGGCCCTCAGGGCTGGAGCCAGCCCTGGAGCTCTGAGGCAACATTCTGCTCTCCTGCCTCTAAGAGTCACCTTCTCAGACCCACCCTCCATCCTGCTCAGTGGGCAGACAGGGACTCTGAGCCAGGAGAGGGCACAGGAGTCATCTGGACTTGGGTTCAAATCCTGCCTCCCTGGCTTTTGGGGTGACCTTAGAAAAATGGGAATCCCACCTGCTGAACCATAGCTTCCTCTTTTTGATTTTGGAAAGATTACTTATAAAAATAAAATGTGTGTGGAATATGTAGCCCAGGGTCAGGTGTATGCTGGGTGTTGGGGTCCCTCAGGCCTCCATCTGCACTGGGCTTTGACTCCCTATGCAGCTCATTGTTGCTTCCCTGTCTTGAGGCTCTCACCGTGCAGGCTGCCCACCCCCCGGGCGGGTGGGTTTCCTGGTCCACACAACCCCTTGTGCCTTGAAACTGGCTTATTGACCCTCCCCCAGTCGTTCACCTACTCAGGTGTGACTACTCCACATGACTTCTCATCTTCCAATCTGCCTCTGTCCTGAGGAGTCTAGCGTGGTTCCTTGCACCTGCAGAATGGCCAGTGGTGACCCACTGAGAGGCCTGTTTGGGAGCAGTGTTGTCATGCAAAAGCATCATGTTTTTTTTTGTGTAAAATAGAATGGTGCTTGGACAAGACAGGGACCATCTTTCTGGAGGGTCAGTATGGCTTCCATGATGGAATTCACTGAGCCTTCCTGGGCTTACATGGCAAGGGGCTTATTCAGAGCTAGCCTCCCATGTCACAGCTTTGCTGAGGAAGCCCCTGGTAAATTCTCTGCTGTAGAAGATGCTGAAGAAGTTTTTCTAGCTGGGATTTGTTTTCTCTATCGTCCTCTTCTCCAATCTAACCAATGGGAATGGGGCTCTCTTTCCTGCAGCTGTGTGCAGGCTGGCTGTTGCGGCTGATCTCTGTTCAGGTAGCATGATCCTTTCCCTTTCTGCCCCCAGACTGGGCTTGGAGAGCAGTAGCAGAGTTCTCTGCTGTGGGTTCACTGGCACCCAGCCAGGAGCAGGTGCTCTCCAGGAGGCACTCTAAAAATACCTGTTGACTGAATGATGGAAACAATTGATGGTGCATGTAGTCAATCAAGATCAGTTCCAGCGTTGGTGACAGTTCAAATGCTCAGTTTCAGGGCTCAGGCTCTCTCACTGTCCTCAAATCCCAGGACCCTAGAGACGAAAGGGTTAGCAGAGGCCGTTAGTAGTGATGGCCAGTCCCGCAGAGAGGGAAACCCAAGGTGGGTCATTGATGCCAGATGAGCACCAAGGACAGGGACGGAGAGCAATGAGTAGAGGCAACCTCACCCCGCCTCCACCAAGCTGCAGATGGAGAATGGAGAAAAGAAGACCTCTTGGGGGCCGGGTAGGGGGGCAGCAGGAGGGGGAGCTTATTACTCCCTATAGTCTTGTTTCACCTGCTTCCAGTCCTCCCTTTGTCCTGCCCTTTTTTCTTTCCTCTCTTGAGTTTCCCCTGTCCTTTTTTTCTCCTTCCCTATTTCCTCTTTTTCTTCCTTTGTTCCCCCTTCTCTTCATTTCTGCTTCCCTTTCTTGTTCCCTTCTTTTTTCAGACAATCCGTATAGAAGTAGTCCTACAACCCTTTGTAATTACATTGCTAAAGACCTATCTCACCTCTGCATTTCATATTTAGAATTTACCTATAAATTCAGACTTATCCTGCTTTGCAGCTGGGGCCTGACAATAATAGAGGGACAACTTGGAGACCAAAAGAGAAAGTTCCACTCTCAAATGATAGTTGCTTGAGTTCCCTAGCCCAAGAGCATGTCAACAGCAGCTCTGATACTCTGCAGGGACACACCGTGTGTCTTCCCTTTGTTAAATAGCAGAACCCCCAGCCCCATTTGGTAAGCAGCTATTTGCCTTCAGCCCCCAGCATCCTCCTCCTTCCTGAGCCTTCTGAAACCTCCACTGTCAGGGGAACCGGGTGACTTTGGGAGGCTATTCCAGTCGTAGGTCTAGCATGCCATCACTTGGTTAGTGCTGTCCTCAGAAGTTCTCAGGTTTTGTGAATATCACCCACGCCACTGTCACCTGAGTAAGTGGCTGAGAATTTGAACACATCTGCAAGAGTGTCAGCGCAGTGTCCAGCACTCGCCATAAACACCATTGAGGTGCTCCAGCTCTCCTTGTCTGTCCTCGCCTGTCTCTCTTCTGTGAGTATTAAACAGGTGCGGGTAACAAATGATGAGTTCATCAAGGGATAGGGCAGGGCTGGCAGAATACACAGGGGTTTTCTTACTTGTTTTTGTTATGTAGGAGATGTCTTTTGTAATAGAAGGAAGGGGAGGCAAAAGAGAGAGAGATGGGCAGTATGTTTGGAGAGAGTGAGAGAGAGACAAAGGGAAGGAAATGGAAGGATAGAGAAAGAGTGGAAGGTCAGAAGAAAGAGACGGAGGAGGCAATAGAGAAAAGAGAAAGCCTGAGTTACATGGACCCGTATCTTAAAACCCTACCTTGTCTCTCTATCCTGTTTTACTAACTGAACCCCTGAGCTAATCCTTGATAACAGTGTGATTTATATTCTAGCATTTTCCAGTAGACATATACCTGGGGGATTTACCTAAGTAATTGGTTAGCATGATTTTGTTATATATAGGTTTGCACCCAAATACACGCTAATTGAGCCATCACATATCATTCTGCAAAAAATGACTGTTTATTGCACAATGTGTGAAAAGCATCTTCCCCTGGCAGCCAGTGACTGCGATCTCATTCTTTGGGAAGCTGTTCAGGGTCCCATAATATGAACGTACCAGCCACACCATTTATTTTACTGCCCCCAGTTGTCGAACATTATCTCAGTGTTGTATACTTACAGTGAGCCAGTAAACATCGTTCTGCCTGCACGCACGCATGTACGCACGCACGCACACACACACGTGCTGGGTGTGAGACTATTTCTACGAGACAGATGCCTAAAAGCGAAATCACTGCCTCAAAGGATGCACATTTCCCATGTGTGATTACAAATTATTCATTTGTCATTTGGGTAAGTGCTGCCATATTTATTCATTTCTAACATCTGCTCTCACTCCCCAGGGGAGGCTGCCTAGAGACACCCACACTACCCTGCACACACAGCCCAGTACCCCAGGCCACTGTTGACATTCATCTGCTCTCTTGGACATGCTTGGTCTTTACCTGCACAGCGGCCTTCCAGTTATAGGTGCAATATTCTTTGATTGTTTTTTTCCGATTCACCTCAGTCCAAATTCTTTCTTTTATCACTGTCAGTCCTCCTAGGTACGGACTGTTTTGGTGAAGTGATACAGCATGAAGGCTTGTCTTTGCTCTCCTGCTTCAAGTCAGGACTTGGGCTGCAGAAAGAAGAGAAATGGTCTCAGAGCATTGATGGCACCCAAAATAGATGGGTAGGGGCTGCAGCCTTTCTGCTATGGGACCACTGTGTAACCCCAACTGATGACCTCAGACCATTGAGTGAGCCCCGTGGTGGGGAGTAAGAGGAGAAGGGGCTGTATCGAGCCCCTCAAAGAGCCAACTTGTCCTGTACAAGACCAGTGGGCCTCTTGCGACTAAGGGGACTGTGGGTAAAGGGTTGGCTAAGGAAAAAACGCTGTTGTTGCCCCTGCTACTAATGATGATGATGTAAGCTGACTTCTGTTTAGGTATCACCGCTGTTCTGGGAATGTTCCATGAATTAGGCCACTGGCACCTGACAGTTG